CAGCACCAACACCAGCACCAGCACCAGCACCAGCACCAGCACCAGCACCAGCACCAGCACCAGCACCAGCACCAGCACCACCACAACCACGCACACACGCACGCCCGCCCGCACGCACGTGCACCACCACCCACCACGCACGCGCGCGCGGAGCCGCAGGTCCGCTACGACACGCGTCCGCGGATAGAGAAAATCAGCGCCATGGTAAGGAATGGGAGGGACGGGTAGGACGTCAGATATGACGCGAGCGCACCTAGCTTGTCCCTCTCCCCTCCTTCTCCTCCTCCTCCTCCTCCTCCTCCTCCTCCTCCTCCTCCCCTTCCTCCTCCTCCTCCTACTCCTCCTCCTCCTCCTTCACCTCCTCCTCCCCTCTCCTCCCTCCTCCTCCTCCTCCTCCTCCTACTCCTCCTCCTTCCCCTTCCCCTCCCCCTTCTCCTCCTCCCCCTCCTCCTCCTCCTCCTCCTCCTCCTCCTCCGCATCCTCCTCCGTATCCTGCTTCTTGCCCACCCCAGGACGCCTGAGAAGCCTTAGGAGGTGGCGGAGGACGAGAAGGGGAAGCCCAGCAAGGGCAAGGGGGAGGAGGGGGCCAGAGGTCCTCTAAGGCTATGATGTTCCAGCCTGTTGTGGCCTTGACCACCAGAAAGAATTTCGAGCACCAAGAAAGTACCGCAACTTGAGGGTTTTCACCTGTCGGCCCCAGAGAGGCGACGCTCGTTCGACACTGTTTCGATACATGTCTGGGTGCTCCGGGATGTCGTCCTGAAGTGCGATGGGAGCAGCATAACTCCAAGCAGACGTGTTGGATGGGGTCGGAGACCTCGGGCATCAGGGCGGCGGCAGCGCCCACGAGAGGCGATGATTTGTCGCCTTCGTGCGTGCACGAAATCCAGACCCCTGATGTCATGTTTTTTCTCCTGACGTCGACCCCCACAGGTCTCGACCCATTCCCCCGGACAGGTCACTCGTCCCAGGCCGTTTTTTGAAGGCCCCGAGGCCCGGAGAGGGCCCCCAGAGGCCAACAATAGCGAAACAATTCCCGAAGTGATTTTCTCATGGCCTGATGGAGGTCTGGGAGAGAGACACACTTGAGTTACGGTAGGTCCATGCGGCGATGGCGGGCCGGCGATGCTGGTGAAGGCGTGCAAGCTTGAATTCCGCAATGTAGAGTGACGTGGAAGCACCAAGGGACACGGTGACGCTGCAGGACCCGATGGAATGCAACCGTGAACGATCGGGGCCGCGATCGATTCGAGGTTCAACGATCGACGCGGTGTCGAAAACCTTGGCGCGCGCCGACGCCGCGCGAGCTTGCCGTACACGAGCTGCACAGGGCTTGGCATCGCTCGGACGTGTGCATTTTTCCTGCGGCGAGGACAATCGAGGAGCATCCTTGATCATTGAGCGAAAAAACCACGCACGAAACCGAAAAAAACACAGGGAATGGACGTCCGAGCGATGGCCGGAGGGGGGTGCAGCGGGGAGATGACTCGACGGCGGTGAAGACGAGACGCGCCGCCGCAAGCAGTGGCCGCCTGCTCCGCAGGCGCAGCGAGCCCCGGATCGCCACCGGCGTCCAGGGGCGCCGCTGCGGAGGAGGCGCTGCGCAGCAGCGAGACGACGGGCCTCCTGAGCGCTAGCGCGGACGAGACCGCGTCCGCCACGGACATGTACCTAGCGCTCGGCGCTCAGAGCCGGGATTGGGCTTTCTGCTTCGAAGTCTAGGCCTCCTGGATGGGGTCGGAGTAGTTGGGGTCGGAGGATCGCGCCGCATCGCCGATGCGTTGGCGATGAGGCTCGATGTGCATCCCGATTTTCTCCACGCCGACGTCGCTGACGTCTTCAATGCATCGCGAATGCATCGCCGATGCATCGCCGATGCATCGGCGATGCGGCGCGATCCTCCGAGCCCATCTACCCCGACCCCATCTACGAGGCCTCTAGGAAGGCAGGGGGGGGGGGGGCGGACCTCCTCGGAACGCCTTCGGAGAAGCTTGCTGAGCCTTCTCCGACGCCAGAGAGGGCTCCCGCCCCCCCCCGCGCGCCGCCGATGCCAGATCCACCGCCCGCCGGGGGCTCCCAAACGGTGCGATGACCACGCTGCGTGGCGGGCCAGTGGGCATGCGGGGGGACCGCCCGCTTTGGGGTCCCGGGCCGCGCTCCGTGGAGCGACCGGGGCCTCTCCGGCGTCCCGCACCCGCGCGATGGCCCACCGTGCGCCGAGGTCTCTGGAGATCCGCACGGTCTGTCGCCGCGCGGCGCTGGGGCCTCGAAGCCCTGCAGACCGAGCCTCCCGGACATCGGGAGGCGCTGGGTCTGGACAGCCCCCCCGACTCGCACCAGCACGGCCCCGAGCTGGGCCTCTCCGCTCGCCGTCGAGGAGTCCGTGGGGACGGCCTCCCGCCCTCGGCGGCGCCGCGCGGGGGGCCCGCGGGAGCCGGCGGGGCGACGCACACCGAGGGCGGCGGTGCCGGCGGGTGTTGGCGAGCCCTCGGCGCGCCCTGCGGAGCGAAGCTTGGGCTCGAGAGCTAGAGGGGGGAGGGAAGACGGCGAGAGGGGGAGGGTGGAAGCAGGACGAGAAGCAAGGCACAAGGCGACTCCTCCTCCTCCTCCTCCTCCTCCTCCTCCTCCTCCTCCTCCTCCTCCTCCTCCTCCTCCTCCCGCCTCCCTCCTCCTTCCTCCGCCCCTCCCTCTCCACCTCCTCTTCCTCCACCTCCTCCTCCTCCTCCTCTTCGCCTCCTCCTCCTCCCCCTCCTCCCCTCCCTCCTCCTCCTCCTCCTTCCTCCTCCTCCTCCCTCCTCCTCCTCCTCCACCTCCCCCTAGCCTCCGCCTACCCTCCTCCTCCTCCTCTCCTCCTCCCCCCTCCCCTACTCCTCCTCCTCCCCTCCCCTCCACCTCCTCCTCCTCCTCCTCCTACCACCTTCCCCTCCTCCTCCCTCCTCCTCCTCCGCCTCCTCCTCCTCCACCTCCTCCTCCTCCTCCTCCTCCTCCTCCTCCTCTCCTCCCCTCTCCTCCTCCTCCTCCTCCTCCTCCCCTCGCACCTCCTCCTCCTCCTCCTCCTCGTCCTCCTCCTCCTCCTCCTCCTTCTCCTCCTACTCCCTCCTGCTTGCTCCTCCTCCTCCCCCTCCTTCTGCCCCTCCTCCCCCGCCCTCTCTCGCCAGCAGACGAGGACGTGGTGCCCGATGGGTCTCCCGAGCCAGCCGTCGACGGGGGCTCGAGCGGGCAGGGGGGGTCGGAGCCGTGCCGGAGAGCCTCGGCCCGCGTGTGGCCCCCCCAGCTCTGGGGGTGGATCGGGCCCGCTGGGCCAGTCATGACGGGCGTGCTTTCCCACCACCACCACCATAAGTTGGAGGGGGGAATGAGGAGGAGGAGAAGGAGGAGGAGGAGGAGGAGGACCCCTCCCCCTCCAACTTATGGTGGTGGTGGTGGAGAACAGGCCCATCAAGTCACTCGCAGATGTTCAGCTGGCCCCTCAACATGGTTCCATTCTCGCATGAAGTCGGGCGTGTCCCCCTTACAGGGTTTTTTACGAAAAATAAAGTACACCAAAAAGGATCAACAAAGATGATCCCAAACTAGTCTGGGGATTCTTTTTTGAATATTAGTTGGCCTTTGGGGGGCATTTTTGGATTTTTTGATAGTTCGTTGAGAATCCCCATGTAGGGGGAACACGCCCGACATAGTTCTAGCACGCGCACACACAAAACATAAAAAGACACTGCACGCACGCGCGCGCGCACTCGCGCACCCACACACGCAGAAACACACATACACACACATGCACACACACACACACGCACGCACGCCCGCACGCACGCACGCACGCACGCACGCACGCACGCACGCACGCGCATGTATTCCTTCCCGGCCAGCTGGGTGAACACAACGAGTGCCAGGATCGGGCCTGGGATCCCCTGGGTCGAGGAGGAGGAAACAGCATAAGCATAAACTTTGGGCGCTCCGCTCGGATTCCTTGGATCCGCGCTTGGGCCCCCCCGGCCGCCCCTGGCGCGCTCCGCGCGTCAGGGGCGGGGGGTCCAGCGCAGATCCAAGAAATCTGCGCGGAGCGCCAATAGTTCATGCTTGTGCCGTTTGATCTCTTTCTCAGGATCGGGCCGTGGATCACCTTGGATCGGCGGGGTGCTTCCAAGGCTCGACGTTACCGTGGATCCTGCCCTGGTGCCACCCGAGCGCGTGGAGTCGCAGAGCTTCTACCCCGGGGCGGAGCCCAGGCTGCTGCTGAAGCACGTGCAGAAGTGGGTCGACGCCCTCCAGAAACGGAAGTATCACGTTCGAGCCCTGGGGACAGACATTGAGGGCCGCTCCCGTCTTATATGTCGTTACGTGAGGCCACAGGCGCCCCCGCCGCATATCAACCCCAGCGACCCCTTTGCGATCGAGGCTGCAGCAAGGTATGTGTCCTTGATCCCCTTCCTGTGCGACAACGAGATGTTTCCCAATGTCCAGGACCTCTGGTGCACCGATCAAGAGTTTCTGAACATCCAGTGCGGGGACTGGGAGGAGCACGCGATTTTACTGTGCAACTACTTCAACTACATTGACCGATACCGGCGAGACAAAGTCGACGGCTGGCTCAATACCGAAATCCAGTCCTACTGCGCGCTGTGCACCGTGGTGCCCCAGGGTGAGATCACAGTCGTGGTTCGCCGAGACATGCAGTCAGGACACTGCGAGCTGTGGCAGGCGTCGTCCGGCGAGTGCTTCTTCGTCCCACACCGCAGGAAGCCCGCGCGCCGGCTGTGCCCCGCGCGCCGAGGCGACGCAGAGGCCGCCAGGCGCGCTCAGCTGCCGGGCACGCCCTTCGTCCCAGTGCGGCACATCGACGTGCTCTTCAACCAGGAGAACGTGTGGGCGAACCTGCAGACGATGGACAAGGATCAGACTGGGTCAGTATAGCAAGCGCGACCAGGGCGCTAGGGCGCAACATCTTTATTGAACATCCAGACATGTCGTGGGGAGAATGTTTGGAGAGTCTGGGGTGGTCGAGTTTGCCATACTCGGCCCAGTCGAAGACAAGGAGTCGCAGTCGAGCGTGAGGGGCATCGACTTCGACTTGGACAATGCGTCCAACTCTTAGGCGGACTTCGTCGCTCGATCAGCAGGGGCACCAGTCGGGGAAACCTGAGATTAAGTCGGGCGCGTCCCTCTACAGGAGGAATGTTCAAAAATAGTTAAGCAATAGTCTGGGGACGATTTTTCTACAATTTTAAACTATTTGTAATTTTCGTAGGGTGTCTGCAGCGGGGGTTCGCGTCAAATTTCAGAGTGGGCCTCGTCATTTCCATGCTGGCCCAGTCAGGCCAACCCGAGCTTCTCGAACCCGAGTCTTAGGTCTCCCCTCTAGACCTCTTGGATGGGGTCGGACTGGATGGGGTCGGAGGATGGCGCCGCATCGCCGATGCATCGGCGATGCGGCTCGATGCGGAGTCCGATTTGCTTCACGTCGACGTCGCCGATGCATCGCAGATGTCGATTATGCATCGCCAGTGCATCGCCGATGCATCGCCGCGGCGCCGCCGATGCATCGCCCATGCATCGGCGATGCGGCGCGATCCTCCGAGCCCATCTGCTCCGACCCCATCTAGGACCAAGGAGGCAACTAAAAAGTGAGGAGGGACAACAGCATCACAATCAGAATCCTCCTCCTCCTCCTCCTGCTCCTCCTCCTCCTCCTCCTCCTCCTCAGATCCTCCGACCCCGTCTGCTCCGACCCCGTCTAGCAGGAGGCCTCCGTCCCCGAGGGAGGCACCGGTCCCCAACATCGGTCGTTCTCCTCGCCGAGGTCGGGGGGTCGGCCCCACCCCGCCAGGGAGCACGCTCGGCCCTCCCCCTCTGGGCTCGGAGCCTGTCTTCCCCATGTCCTCCTCCTCCTCCTCCTCCTCCTCCTCCTCCTCCTCTCCTCCTCCTCTCCTCCTCCTCCTCCTGCTCCTCCCCAGATCCTCCGACCCGTCTGCTCCGACCCCGTCTAGTGGGAGGCCTCTATCCCCATGTCCTCCTCCTCCTCCTTCTCCGACTCCCCTCCTTCCCCCCCCTCCTCCTCCTCCTCCTCCTCCTCCTCCCCCTCTCCTCCTCCTCCTCCTTCTCCTCCTCCTCCTCCCCCTCCTCCTCCTCCTCCTCCCCCTTCTCCTCCTCCTCCTCCCCCTCCTCCTCCCCCTCGTCTTCCTGAGCAGGGGGAGGAGGGCGGACCAGGACCAGGGCCGGGACCGGTGGCCTCTCCCCCGCGCCAGCAGCCTCGTGCCACCCCAGGAGGGGCAGGGACGAGAGGGCGGCCCCAGGGCGGCCTGCCGCTTGCCCCGCCTTCGGTTTTTTTCCTTCGGTGGCACTGTCTCCTGGGTGCAGCGTTCGGTCGGCCATGTCCACCGACGGGAGGCATACCCAAGAATCGTCAAGAAATCGTATTGGGACGAGTTTGGGGCTGTTGTTCCTTCGGTGGCATTGTTTCCTGGGTGCAGCGTTCGGTCGGCCATGTCCACCGACGGGAGGCATACCCAAGAATCGTCAAGAAATCGTATTGGGACGAGTTTGGGGCTGTTGTTCCTTCGGTGGCATGGTTTCCTGGGTGCAGCGTTCGGTCGGCCATGTCCACCGACGGGAGGCATACCCAAGAATCGTCAAGAAATCGCATTGGGACGAGTTTGGGGCTGTTTTTCCTTCGGTGGCATGGTTTCCTGGGTGCAGCGTTCGGTCGGCCATGTCCACCGACGGGAGGCATACCCAAGAATCGTCAAGAAATCGTATTGGGACGAGTTTGGGGCTGTTTTTCCTTCGGTGGCATTGTTTCCTGGGTGCAGCGTTCGGTCGGCCATGTCCACCGACAGGAGGCCTACCCAAGAATCGTCAAAAACTCGTATTGGGACGAGTTTGGGGCTGTTTTTCCTTCGGTGGCATTGTTTCCTGGGTTCAGCGCGTTCGGTCGGCCATGTCCACCGACAGGAGGCCTATCCAAGAATCGTCAAAAACTCGTATTGGGACGAGTGTGGGGCTGCTTTTCCTTCGGTGGCACTGTCTCATGGGTGCAGCGTGAGGTCGGAGATGTCCACCGACAGGAGGCCTATCCAAGAATCACCAACAGAAATCGTGCTGGGACGAGTTTTTGCTGTTTTCGAGTGTTTTGACATCTTTTTGAATAGATTTTTCCTTCGGTGGCACTGTCTCATGGGCTCAGCGTTCCGTCGGACATGTCCACTGACAGGAGGCATCTCCGAGGATTGTCTAAAAGTCGTACTGGGACGAGTTTTTGGGGCTAGTTTTGAGTGTTTTGGCATCTTTTTGAATCTGCTTCCTTTCCCTTCCGACATCCGCCTGTAGGCTAGCGCTTCGCGGTTCAGAAAAGCAAAACAAAACACACAAAAACACAACACAAACATTTTTTTGTATGTTTTTGTTTGTGTGTTTTTTCTCTTAAGACCGGAGACCAGCCCGACTCGGGATCCGAGGGAGTCGCTGCACACATGGATAAAATTTCCAGGGGTCCGCCTGCGCCTGCAGCGCCGCCCCCTGGCGCACTCCGCGCGCCAGAGGGGGGGGGGGCCCAGCGCCACCTCACCTCGGCAGACTCTTCCCCGACAGCGACCGTGCCCACGATGAGAAGCCTTGTTGACCCCATGACCTACTTTGACTCAGAGCCTGGCACATTCGAGTCATGCTATGGGCGCCACTGTTCCGACGTCAGTGAATCATCCTCGAGTTTCGTTGAATGTGCGTGGGACGCAGGTGTTATGAACGATTTGGACGACGAAGACTACGGCGACCTTCTCCAAGATTTTCCAACTCCTGACTAGATGTGGCCCCGCTTATTCCGAGCATGATGCTGATAAGAATTCGCACGCTGGCCGATCCGTCTTCTCCCGACCCTTTTCCTCGTCCGTCTCCTCCACCTCTAGCGCTCCTTGCCCCATCCCGCCTCCTGTGTTTTACTTCAATTGCTGCTTGCACATCTTACGTCCTCGTGCCTCGGTTTGCTCCTAATTCAGAAGGGAGAGAAACACACAGACACAATGATCGTCGATTCCCAGGAAAATATTTGAAAATATAAGAAGTGATGCGGAATCCTTTTATTTGTGTGTATGTATTTGTGTGTGTGTTCTGGGGCCCCTTCACTTACGGCCTCGTGCCTCGGATTGCTCCATATCCTTCTTCGACGTCGCCTGGCCCACAGAAGACAGGCTGTCGGGACCCGGTTTTTGCACACACGTTCGAAGAACCTTGCTCCAGTCAGCTGCTCCCAGGAGCAGCATCGAGCATAACGTGCCAAGTGCCACAACCCCTCCGTCGCAACCGTGGCTCAAGGAATCAATTCGACCATTTGCCGACTGCACCCGCTGCTCTTCCACAGTCTCATCCCGTTTCCATCCCAGCGGGTCCAACGTGGCGTCTCCAACGCCGCCTGCAACGACGGTGGCTTCTGCGGCCCGCCAGGAACACACGCAGTCGGAGGGGGGAGATGCGACACCAGCACCACCAGGGGGCCCACCTCCAGCGAGGAGGTCCACGATGCCTCCCCGAGCCAGGGGCTGGGGACGTCTCGCGCGAGAGGGCCGGGGCCGCACCACCACGGAGAGACCCTAACCCGTTGCTCCTCGCATCTCCTCGCCCTGCTGGTGCTGATGTCGCCCTTCCCTGCTCCCAACACGCAGGGGACATGGGCTGGGGCGCCGCGCCCGCCCTCGTGGCCGCGCCCGCGGCGGACGCCTCCGGGCTCGGCGTGCCCTCGCGGCCCGGCGGGCAGGCGCCCCGCCAGGGCTCGCGCTTCGGCTCCTCCGCTTCGGCCTCGACTTCGGCTTCGACGGCTTCCGGCTGCGATCCGCTTCGGCTTCGACTTCGATTCGACTCGACTTCGGCTTCGATTCGACGTCGACTTCGTGCTGGCCGATTGGATTCGACTTCTACCTCGACGGCCTCCGACTACGGTTCACTTCGACTTCGGATTTCGATTTGGGCTCCGATTTCTCGGACTGGAGACTCACTGCTCCGCCGATCTCCGCCGATTCGACTTTTTTTCCGACTCGGCCGCCGATTCCCGCCGATCCGCTTCCTTTCGATCGCCGAGCCGACTCCTCGATTCTCTTCTGGGCTCGTCCTGCCCTCAGCGCGCGCAGGAGTTCGACGCGGAGGGCTGGGAGACCGACGACGAGTTTGACCACCCGCGGCGCGGCAGCGCACCCGCGGCCGCAGCCCCCGCGGCGCCCGCGCCCACGACGGCGCCGCGCGGGGCCCCGGCCGCGGCTGGGCCGCCGGGCGACAGGCTGCCCTGGCCGGGCGGCCCGCCGCTGCGCAGATCGCCGGGCGTGCCGCCGCGCCCCGCCGCCGGGCAGGATACCCGAGCGCGCCCCCCCATTTCAAGCAGCGGCGAAGCGTCTCGGCTCGCCTCTAGCTAGCCCTACCAGGCAATGTTCTAAAAGTCGGGGGCGGAAAAGAGGGGGGTGATGACTAGGGGGGGGTAGATATCATGGCGTGGGCCATGATATTTTCTTAGATTTCATGGCGCCTCTTCTTATTTCATTGCGTCCCTGGCCCCCCCGCTGGGCCGCGCACATGCCGACGGTCATGATTTACACCCCCCCTCTTGGACACCCCTCTCTTGGCCGCTCCCGATAAAAAACCTTGTGCGGCTTCCACGGCACGGAATGTTCTTAGAATATGTCTGCTTGAGATTGTCTTGTTGTATCACATCGGGTTTATGTTCTGAGTTTGGGCTCTAAGAACATTTCGTGGTAGGACTAGAGGAATGCCGGGACGGTCGGTCCCTGCTCAACCCTACTCGCAAAGCGCTTGCTCGCAAACGCACCCAGCCAGGATCGCGTCGCAAGAAACAAAAATCAGAGCGGCACGTTTGTCACCACTTTCGGCCCCCATGGGGGCCCTCGCCGGCCCCCCGGAGCGTCAAAAAACGGCTCAGGATGAAAAGCCGGCCCCAGGGAAAGGGTCGGCTTTGCGAGGACGCCGTACTGAAAAAATCAGGGCGTCGCATGTCTGGATTCGCCTCTGTGGAATGGCTCGTTGATCCCCCGCGGCGGATCCAGGCCACCTGCGAGTGGCCTTCCGAGCCCCTTGCATCCTTATCG